CTGACACACAACTTAGAGAAATACAGGATCACTCCTAACAAAAGATCTGTGACATCAGTTTTAGATATGACTTACCTAAGGGGTTTTGGTGAATTAATAACACACTACAGAGAGAAATTTTGACTTAAAAGCCATGAATCTTTTAAGGCTACTGAAGGATGTGGTCTGCTTCCTAGAGCAGTCACGTTGGACAAAGACTGTGTCAGCCTTAAATTCAAATGCAGACGCCCAAAGTCACAGCATTGAGATGGGTTTTGTCACTCAACTTCCATTTCCTTTAACACACATAAAGAGTCTCTATAACATCTCTGCAAACTGAAGACAAACTGATCTCTCAAGAAAAGTTTGTTATCAGTGGTTTTCATCCTGTAAACTGTGGATACCTCAGGGCTGGAGCTTAATTCTGATTAATTAAAAAGAACAACAACAACAAAAAAAAAAAAAAAAAAAAAAAAAAACCAAAAAACCAAAACAAAACCAAAAAAACCACCACAAAATAAAAAACGAGACACAAAAAATACCCCTAGCTAAACATCAGTAGATATGTGGGTATTAGCAAATCAGAAAAAAAGTCTGAAAAACCTCTGAGCCGCAATATTTAGAGATCAGTCTGCTTTCTTCATTCTCCATCTTATTCCTTAATTCCCTCTTAGCAGAGAACAGAGTCTATCTCAAATGATGTCACTGCAGCATCAGTTCCAAGCCAAGCAGATAAATGGCCTTACAAAACTCCCTCAGTCAGAAATGGTGTGAATTAGGTCAAGATTGGGGTAATGCAGAGATCAGGAAATAAAGCTTCTAAGTAAGCCAAAAAGCAAAGTGTTAATGACCAGGACAGCAATATATAATGAGCTCTTAAGAAGAACAACACAGAACTAAGCCACATATTTCCTTGCTGGCAGTCAGCTGCATGTTGGTGCTTTAATGAAGTTACAAGGCAGAACACAGGAATATCTAATCTCCAGAGAACATCATTAGTGAAGATAAACTACATTTTACAATGCTGCCATTATTTTTGCTAGCATCTCATTAATCATTTAATGGTCATTACTCATTATTTACTTAGCCTGGACAGAGTACACAGCTGTGCAAAAATACCCACAGAATCACAGATTTAGGTGGTCCCTGCCCATGGAGCCAACAAAGCAGTAATTTGTCACTGCAGCCAGTGACCATCAGAAGTTTGCATAGGAGGACATACTGCCTATGTTCATCTTCATGGGCAGTTGAAATGGAAATTGACTTCTGCTGTGACAAATTGAAGATGCTAAATGATTTCCAGGCAGTGAGGAGTAAAATCCTCTGCCAGATTTGGAGAAAAAGAGGCAACCATATTGCTCTGCTATCCTCAGTGGTGGACTGGGGCCCCAAACTGTTTCAAAAAGGCCAGAGAAGATAGAGCTTAGTTGCAACCTGTCAAGTATAGACAGGCTCTCAGGGTGTCTCTGTGGGCACAAGGGTTAGGAACAAGGGTTAGGAACAGGCTCACCTGAGCTGCAGGGGAACAACAAACGGGTCTGCAGCCACTGCTGCTGGGAAAGGCCATTTACAGTGGCAATGGCCTTCACTCAAACACAAGGTGACAAATTTCCTCGAAGCCTTGAACAAGCACTAACCCTTGTCCTGTGAATAAACACAGCCAGGTGGAAGGGGTTTTCCATTTCAGCAGCTGAGAGGTACCCAAAACAGAGAGTGGACCACAGTCCTCCCACGGTGACCTGAGAAAGCATGGGTGCTCCCATATCACAGGGATGGGACATTTCACCAGTGACTTACTCACCCTCCCAGAGAAGGGGTTCATGTGGATCCACTCTTGACTCTGTAAAGGGAAACTGAGGCAAGGAGCACACTGCTTGGTACCTGCTCCTTGTGGCCATACAGTGCTTGCTTTACCTAAGCACCCTGTGGAGGTGGCATCCACACGTGGCAATTAATGAGCCAAGACATTGGGGGTAAAGACACATTCAGAACTAAACTCATTTCATAGACAAGTTCTGCAGTCTGTGAGTGTGCTGGGCCAGTTCTGCATCCTGATTTATCATCCCACAGCAGAGGCACAGAAATGAGCAGGGTGTTAGCTCAGTGACCTGTGGTGCTTGGGGGGTACCCTGACTGCAGCACCCATCAGAGCAGGACAGTGCCTCTAGGTGGGTGTCAGAGTTGCTGGGCATTTTCAGGTCAATAGTACAACCCCACATTTTTAACAAGGGGAAAGAACTCCTTTTCTTCTTTTTTTGTGCTTTGTGTGTGTGCTTTCTTTTTTCTTTTTTCTTTTTTTAATGTCTATACACCACCTAAGGAACAGTTGACCAAACCATGTAACAGTTTTCTAAATATGTTTTGCCTGAGGCACACATTCAGGACAGAAAAAAATTCAGTCCAGGTAATTAAATGATTTGTCAGTTATAAATAATTGCCAATGGCTCCCAGTGAGGTAACCCATCACCTCCCATGCCACAGGCCAGGAATGCTCCTGCAGGAGCCCTTGGGTCCTTCCCTACTGCTGGGAAAAGTGCTCTTGGCAAAGGCCAGTTTGCTGCAGAGCAAGCTTCAGGATGGGTGAAATGTCTGCTCCTGGACACTGGCTTTCCTGTGGGAAAGAAGGTCCACTCCCAGCAGAGGAGAGAGAGACTGGTGTGACCTGCACTGCTGGCCTCTGCTCCCAGCAAAACACAAGGATAGGGACTTGCTCTGGGTGTGCACACCCCCAGGAGCCACACCTGCACAGAGGCAGTGCTGCTCCAGATCACAGGCTCAGGCACAAAACAACCACACCTTCCTGCTGAACCTACCCTGTTTCAAGGACCAGTTCAAATTTGGTGATGAAATCATCCTTGTCCCTCTCACACCTGTACCCACCACCATCTCCTGAGGCAAAAAACCTACAGCTGGTATTTTACTGCCATAAAGGGGCAAGGCAGGGAGGCTCCCTCCTCTGCACTGTGTTCTGCAATGCTGAGGCAGAAGTAAAGGCTTGTTTTTGCCTTTCTAGCTCTCCTGGCCCTCCAAAACATGCACTGAGAAACCACGGCTTCCAGCATGGTTTTGGAGATTTGCTGTCAAGGAGCAGCTGCCTTGCTCTGAGGATGGTGCCCTTGAGAGCTGCAGGCAGCCCCACAGCAGGGTGACTGCACTGCTGGGAACAGGGGCAGGTCCACTTGCTGGAGAACATGAGACAGATTATTTTAATCCTTGTTTCCTCGTCATTTTGCCCTAAGAACTGACTAATCAAATGTGATAAATTTTGAGAAACATTTTGAACACTTGGCCATCTCTAGCAATTTACTTACCTCAACAGGCCTTTCTCTCTTTCCCCAGGAAGCTCTGAATGTCTTTCTCTGCAAGTTCAGGAATATTCCCTTTCTTCTACAGTTCAACAACTCCATGTCTCAGCTCTGAGTCTCTGGTGACATCCCAATCACAAAAGAGCAGTGATTACCCTGAGGCATCTTTTACAGACCTCCAACATCCTGGTCAGGAGATGGCACCTGGGAGAAGTAAAATTCCCTTGTAGATCGTCCTGTCCAGTGGATGTTTCCTACTCTTTTTACGTCTTATATCCTGAGCTGTAAGGAACTGTTCAGCCTTTACTATGTTTTTGCCCAGGAGAGCTAGAAAGGCAAAATGATTTTTCTAAAGTAATTGTTCTATAGAGAGTGCACAGCACTTTCTGAAGCCAAGTCAGCACATAAATGTAAGCCATTAAATGAGAAACCCACTGAGTATTGAAGCAGTTGAGAACCAAGACCGGCTGCACCCTGGCTAAAAATCAACTATGGAGTTCAGCCAGGGGTCATGATGCCCTGTAACAGCAATGTGGAGGGGTCCTGATGTCCTGTAATGGCAAAATGGAAACATGAGCTGGTTAGCCAGGGGTTTTTATTGCTGATGGATGAACGTTAACAGGCAATTCACTCACAGGTAAAGGAGAACACAAATATTATGGCTGGAGCAAATGTATTTCATTAAAGTAACTGTGTGAGTTGCTGTTCAGACTGGAGGAGATGACATTCACGTGTGATTCATCTGTATGTGCCTGTGAACAGCTACAGGTACCTCCTCCCTGCTGATCCTTTCACATGATACCACCAAGGCAACCAGTGGGAGACAGCATGGGCAGAAACCCCAGTGCTGGCAGATAGTGAACTTCAGTTCCTTTTTTTAAATGAAATATTTAAAAGTAACACCCTTTTCCCTCCCCCTTCCCTGAATGCATTTGGAAACCTGAGCTGAGAAGAAATCTGAAAGTGTTTTGAGAGGAAAATAATGTTCAATATGTCAGGAGAAAAACCTCAGAACTTCCTTGTGTGTCAGTGAGTTGGATTTATCTGTAAAATGAACTTCTGAGACAAAAAGATGATGAAGATGATAACCCAGTCCCAAAAAGAAAAAAGAACCAGCTGCTCTGATTGCATCGTGCCCTCTGATGGGGAGACAGAAGTGCTGCAGGGCAAGAGCCTGGGACATGGATGCAGTATGGTACAAATATCCCAGGATATTTAGGATGCACAGCCAAGAGCAGCCTTTGCCCCCAGGTGCCATTCCAGGCTTTGAAAGCTGTGGATTCTCTCATCCTCTCTACTAGAGGGCTGGTCCTTTCAGCCCATTTCCATAGGGAAATCTGAGCCTGCAGCACACTGGAGCCAGGTGCTGCTCCCTGCCTCCCCCCCTGCCCCACATGGGGCTGGGGACATGCAAAGAGAAGTGGGGCAGCAGCAGGAGACAGATGAGCTCATTTGGTTTACCTGGTTTCTCCTGGGCAGTGAATCACTGAACAGGCTTCAATCAGCAGAGAGAGCAGCTCGCAGGCACCCACCAATGGCTCTCCATGGAGAGTTACCATCTCCGGGAGAGAGGGGCCAGGCACTACTGGAGGCTGTAACTGCTCGCCATGTGGGACAGCCCTGAAAATTAAAAACAAGGTGATAAAAAAGGCTGCAGGAGGCTGTATCCATCAGCTCACCTAGAAAAGCTTCCAACTGCCCTGGAAGACAAGAAGTGGGTGAGAGACAGACCTGTGAGAGCTGTGTGCCAGTGGGGAAGCCCCAGCACAGGGTGTTCCCCCCATCACAGCAGCTCTCTTCCATCCTCATCCTCCTGCTGACTGGAAGCTGAGCTGCATCCCCTGCCCTGTGGCAGCAGAAGGAGGGACAGAGGGAGACAGGCCCTTCTGGGCAGCCCAGGGATTTCCAGGAGGAGCACCCCTGACCAAAGGAACACCATGGACCGCTTCCGGATGATCTTCCAGTACTTCCAGTCCAACTCGGAGTCTGTAATGAACGGGATCTGTGGGCTCTTGGCCCTGGCAAGTGTAAAGATGTACACCAGCTTGGACTTCAGCTGCCCCTGCCTGCCCCAGTACAACATGGCATATGGCTTGGGGATCATGTTCGTGCCCCCCATCATCCTTTTCCTGTGTGGGCTCATCCTCAACAGACAGTCCCTGGTGATGCTGGAGGAGTGGAGGCGGCCGCCGGGGCGCAGGAGGAAGGACCTGGCTGTCATCAGGTGGGCTTTGCTGTGGCACTGGCATCCCTCTTCTCACCTCCCGTTTAGCTTCTTGCTCCATAGCTTTGATCCTCCTGGTAGATTAATTTTCTTGTAAGCTCATCTCCTGAGACCTCTCCCCATGGCCCTGGAGGGGGAGGGGTATGGGAAATGCATTTACATCCAGCAGAAATTAGGGCAGGCTCGCTCCATCCCAGCTGAGGAGAGCAGCAGTGCCTCAACACCTGGGCTTGTGCCACCACCCTGGGAAGCTGCATTGCTGCTGCCCTGTCATGCACTCACTCAGGGTGCCTTCTGAGGCTTCCATGTGCAAAAACATCAGGCATTTCCTTTTAAATATGCAGAAGGTGTGGCATTTTCATCACAGTCATTCTTTATGAAAAGCCTCATGGCCTCCCTCCCTTCACCTGAGTTTTTACTAATTTGTACTGGTGGAATGGTGAGGAGAATCGTATTCCATCTGTTATATGTAAAGTTTTATGCAGTACACAGGTTGGCTCAGAGAGGGGCAAGAAAGGCTGCAGAAAAAAGGGGATTTTCCAGATTAAAACTGATGAGAAAAGGAAGTATGAATATGCAAGACAAGGGAGAGCTGACAAAGATCTGTGCATGGGAGATGTAAGGGTACAGTCGAGGCAAACACATGGTGAGGGGACTGTGCACTGAGTGCAGGCAGCACACAGAGCCCTGTCTTGTGCTAGTGCAGGTTTCACTGAGAGGCAGAACCAGCAAAGACATCCCAGAGCAGAGGAAACATCAGCAGGAGCAATGCTGAGGGCAGCCCTGGGAGTCAGTTCCCTGGGCCTGGAAAGTCTGCTTGCCACAGGACAGCCTGCATCCCTCAGGGCTCTGGATGAGGAGAAAGCTGCCAGCATTAACCCAGTCCCCTCTCTCTGCTGCTCCAGGTACATGTGTTCCTCCATCATGCAGCGAGCCATGGTTGCCCCTGTCGTCTGGATCATAGTCACCCTCCTCGATGGCAAATGCCTCATCTGTGCTTTCAGTGGCTCCATGGATCCCCAGAAGTTTGTGGGCTTTGCCAATGTGAGCACAGAGCAGGTGCAGCAGCTGCTGGCCAAGGTGCCCTGCAAGGATGACGAGCTCGTGAGGAACAACACGTCCCGCAGGGCGGTGTCCAGGTACCTGCGCTGCTGCTCCCAGGTGGGTCACTGCTGGCAGTGTTGGTGAGGTGACCAGGCATGTGGCATCCTCTCCTGCTCTTCCTTGATTTGCCATCCCTTCATTGTGGTCAGGCTGGAAGCAAGGCTGCTCTGTGCTTCTTTTTGCCTCCAAACGATGCTATCCTAAGTGATAATATTGAGTTGGGCAGGGAAAAATAAAGAAATTGTGAATAGTTTAATAAAAGAACCAGCAGCTTCTAAACCCAGATAATAAAAGAGGTTGTGTCTCCTAAAGCCCTGCTCAGTGTCAAAAGATTCTTCCAACTGCTAACCCTGCAGATAGGACCCACTGTTTTAAGGACAGTGCAGGCTTAGGCAGATTAAAACAGCTTGCTCAGGAGCAATAGGACAGGGCACAACAGAGAGTGGAGCCCTGACTGGCTTCAGCTCTTGGTATAAAAGTGCCAGGCATTGGGACTGGTGGGAGGTCATTGAAAACAAGCCCTTCTTTCTTATCCAAGGGAGCTGCCCAGAGTCTGGGCTGTCTTCATGCTGCAGTGGGGACTCCTGGGCCCTGGAGTCTGTAGGTGGCAGATGAAGATCACTGGAGATAAGGAAATGCTGAAGGAGAGCACTAAAGACCCTTTCCCAGGAGGTACTCTTATGCTCATAGCAAATGCCTGTCTGCTCCAGGCAACTTTGCCATCAGTTATCCTTACTGAATGATTCATGCACAGATAAATGTCCCATATTCTCTGGGAGGAAATTACACCAACTCGCTGGGTGCAGTGTGGGGTGCTGGACTACAGAGACAGATCAAAGCCAGGAGTCCAGATGCATCACATTTCCCCTCCAGCCACACAAACTCCCCGTCTCTCTGATACAGGCAAAGAGCTTGTGCCTGTCCTTGTGTCTGTCTTGCTCCTGTTTTACTGCTTCTTTCTTATCACACAGGCACTTGGCTGGAGCATTTTGTTGGTCCTGATCATAGCAGCTTTCCTTGCCCGCTGGCTCAGACCTTGCTTCGACCAGGCCACCCTCCTGCAGGCACGTCACTGGAGCAACTACATTGACATTGAGCAAAAGATTTTTGAGGAAACCTGCTGTGAGCACAGCCGGCTCTTTGCTCACAAATGCATCCTCCACTTCTTTGAAAGCATGAGGCAAGAGATCAAACTGCACAGCTTCAGCTTGCCTAGGGAGGGAGAGGGGGCTGAAGGAGGGGAAGGTCTTCTCCAGGGTATCACAGATCAGGACCAGGTGAACAAACTTCTGAAAACGTGGTACTATGAGAAACCTCCCCTGGATGTCAGCCAGGCACACCAGAGGCATCCCCTGGTGCGGGAGAGATCCCCTCTGCCCTGGGCAGACAAGGCCAGCACCCACTCCAGATTCCCCCATCACTCCAATGTGTAAAGGGGGCTTTGTCCTGCAGGCACAGAAGGAGCATTGCCAAACCTCTGCACAAAGCAAGGACCAGTGGGCAGGTGACAGTGGTGCTCACACCTTCCTCCAAATCTGCAGCCTCAAAGGCTCTACTCCAGGGCATGCCTAGCAAAACCTCCAAAGTCAGCTAGTTCTGAGGGTCCAGGGTCCCAGATGCAGTCACTGTTAAGGACATTTCTTAGCCAAGGGCCCCTGGGGCACTTCTGTCATATCAAAGAGTTTGCAGCTTCTTACATCTGTGATAAAAGTGTTCTGGCTTGAGGAAGGATTTAACCATGGCAGCAGCATCTGGCTGCATACACAAACCATACACACACAGAGGTGTGAGCAGCTCCTGCCCCTTCCAGTGAAACCTGGTTCAAAGGGTTATCAGAGCTGACACAGAAATTATTTAATTGGCAACTCTCTTAGTACCACACCAACATAGTTACTCAAAAAGGCAAAACCACCTCCTATGTCTTCCCATCTGCTGAGAGTTCTGGCAGCCCCAGCCCAGCTGCCAAACTGTTCTGCCTTCCTCTCACAACCCATCAATACTTCCATGCATTTTAAAAATGAAATATGGCAACACACTGAAATTCATGGAGAAGCATAACTTTGATTGAAGACACCTCTGAATAAGGATTGGATTGGGTTGGATTTGCAGAAGGAACAGGAGATGGAGGCTTTGCAAAACACAACCACAGGGCTATGCTGGGGCTTAGGGAGCTGCTGTAAGCACTGGTGCTAAGCCATGGAAAGGACACACTGACTCTGCCTGAGAACTCTGAGCGCAGACTTTAAACACTCCCCTGCTAGATTTGAGTACAAACTGACCTATCCAGAGGATCATCCTTGCAACACCTATTTGGGCATTTCCATCCATAGTTTCAAAACTGTTTGAATGTAACCTTACCTCTGAGCCTGTGATAATAATTGCTTTCTCACCTGCCTTTCCCAGCCCCCATTGTACTTGGTGCCAGTTTGACTGGTACTTCTGTCCAGCATTGCTGCTTGGATGCATTAAAGTCTTTACTGCAGACTAACCCAGAACAGACACATCTGTTCCTCCAGGCTGAGCCTCACACTGATGCCCACTGTGTCTCTTGGAGGGAGAGGTGCAACATGGAGGGGCTGGGGGGAGGTGGGAGTGAAGAAGAAATATCTCCTTGGGCATGCACGGATAGGTGGGGCAAGCAGAACTTCCAGGAGGAAAGAAGAGGGGGGCAGAGGAACCTGCCACCACATTAGGACTAAATTCAAAATGAGGGATCAAAATAAAAATATTCATCCCCCAAACTGACTTGTCAAGCTGCTGGCAGGTGGGTCACCTCCTGCCCAGGATGTTTGTATGCACAGGCCAGCGAATGAGGATGTACTGGGTAAAACATTGGGAGGCAAAATAACTCCATAGCCAACCAAGGAGCAGCTGCACCCCTTTGCCCACTGAGGCCCAGTCAGGAGCTGCAGGGTGCAGAGGGAAGGACTGCAGAGCTTTTCTTATTTGCATAGCAAAATCAGATCTGGATAAATCCCTGAGCTCCCTTGGATATGCTGTTTTTTCCCCACCAGCTGTGGCCCATGCTGGTGGGGAAAAACACAGTGGTCTTCTCCCCAGGAGCTCTTTAGATCTAGGGAGCTCCTGAGCTCTTCTTTGAAATCAGCATTGCACCTTGAATTGTGTCTCTGGTTTACTTTGGTCAGACATGGTATCACAAATCTGAGGCTGCAGCTCAGTTTGGACTCACCATTCCATACCAGTCAAATTGGATATTTTCCTAACATGCTCAGAGCTGAGGTCTGCAGCTCCATTTGCATGCTGCTTTCCATGTTCTCAGGTTTTAAGCCATCCCAGTGTGGCCACAAAATATGAAAGGCTAAAAGGGGGAAGAGGCACAGATTTGTTATCTGTACCAGGAGGGAGAAAACACAAGGATTTAAGGGTGCTGCCATAGATTCATTCACAAACTTTAGCAGCTGTCTTCTCTCAGGGCTGTTTGATGCCTGACCTGCATCCTTAGGGATCCTCACCTGCCAAGAGCCTGTGAACACAGCAGAGCTGAGTGCAAAGAAAACTTCCCCAGTCCCTTCCTAAACTCTCCTGATGGGAGTTGTAACTGCTTTCACATCCCTCCTTTCTATTTCCTACACTGACTGGGACTTGCAAAGCCTTCCTCAACTCCACACCTTGGAGTCTCTTGGTGTGCAGGTGCAGGACCAGGTCCAGGGAGGGACTTGGGCATGCACCATCTCTCTCAGGACAGGGTTTCCAGAGCACAAATAAGTTGGAATTTGGGAGGAATCATCAGCTCTGCCTTGCCTTGCAAGTCAGTTAGAGTGAACTTTCTGTTGGGAAGCTCATGAAAACAAAGTCCTTCCTAACAAGGCAACATGGAAAGAAAGACCCAGGCATTGTGTTCTGTGGGCTCTTTTTTGATTCCCACTGCCCTATTGCTGGCTTCAGTGAGAACTGTAGTGCTGTACACCGAGCAGGCTCAGGCCCTTCATTCATGTTTAATAATGGCAGGGTTTTCCTGGAGATCAAAAAGCTCTCAGCTTTTTACAGGGTTGATTCACACAGGCTTTGATGTGAACTGCCCTTCAAAAAGCCACTTGTCAGGTGAATAGAGAAGCCAGTCTGAGCTCTAAGCTAGCAATACAATAGGCCTCATCTATATTCATGCAGCAAAATCTCTTCCCATTTGATGAGATCATGCAATTAACCTCTCCACAGCAGGCAGAGCTAAGACTGCTCAGGTATTACCCGCGCTCTGTGCTCACCTCTTGGTGGCATCTCAGGGTGAGCTCAGCATAATCAGCTGAGCCCCAGGACTGGTGCAGGGCAGACTCAGAACCTGCAGCACTGACTAAGGGTCAAAAAGCCTGGAATGGCTTCCTAGCTCAGCTCTGACACACTGCAAAACCTTGGGGGAAAGTACCTCTCTTGTGTCTTCCGTGTGCCACCCACCTAAGTACAGCTTCCCTTGGTGACGTGTCCCACAGCCACCACTGCAGTCACACTGGTGCCCACGCAGATCCTCACGTCCACAGCTCAGGTGGTGCCTGGACAGTAAAGACTGAGCAATTGTCACCACCTGTTTTACAGACACTTGTATTCCCAGTAATCCCCCATCTTTTGGCCAGCTTGAGGGAGCAACCGAGTGCACCACGGCTGCTTTGTGAACAGGGAACTGAGATGCAGGAGAGCACTATAAATACCATCCATTCTTTTAGATTTGTGCTGTAGAAGCCAAACCCTGCCTGTTACCTCTCCTTCCTCTGCTTTTCCTTGTCTTTTCCCTTCCCTCTGCTGAATAAAAAAAAGAGGTATTTCCCAGTGAAGCAGGTCCAGAATTAGGGGCTGGCAGACCTTCAAGGTACTTTCCTCAGGTGCTGCTGAGGCAAGGCAGGCACACAGAGGGAAGAGGGAAGCTCTGGATTCCAGTTTTTCCATGTGTGCCAGCACTGCAGAGGTGGGGTGTCCCGTTCAGTCCTGGGAGGAGAACCCACCCCCTGCATTTGCAAACAGGTTCACAGAGGCCAATCAGCCAACTCTGCCCAGGGCACAAAGTGATCCGGGGAGAACACAGCCATGGTAACACCTGCACCCTCCAGCAAAGAGAGCTGGTGGCTGGGAGACTGCAGAAATGGGGATGTGGAGAAGCATGAAATCAGGTTCTGCAAACCAGAAACAACCCAGGTCCCGGACCCAAAGAAGAGCAGCAGGAAGCAAACTCTAAACTTTTGTAGGCAGCAAAATCAGCAGAAAAAAAAAGTTAATTTTCTGCTTTAAATAGTGGGGTTGTGAGAGTGCATGAATGAAACAGTGGATTGCACAGAAACTTAGTGATGCCATCTTTGAAGAAGAAATCCTAAAGAATGAAATAGACTGAGGCCACAGCTTGGACCCTGGCAGGGGAAGGAATCAAGCAAAAATGGACAAGTTTCGGATGATCTTCCAGTTCTTCCAGTCCAACCAGGAGTCCTTCATGAATGGCATCTGTGGGATCATGGCCCTTGCCAGCACCCAGATGTACTCAGCCTTTGATTTCAACTGCCCGTGCCTGCCGCACTACAACCTGGCCTACGGGCTGGGCATCCTCCTGGTGCCCCCGTTCATCTTGTTCCTGCTGGGTTTTGTGCTGAACAACAACATCTCCATGCTGGCGGAGGAGTGGCGGCGGCCGCAGGGCCGGCGGGGCAAGGACGCGGCTGTGCTGCGCTACATGTTCTGCTCCATGGCGCAGCGGGCCATGATCGCCCCCGCGGTCTGGCTGTCGGTGACCCTGCTGGACGGCAAGTGCATCACCTGTGCCTTCTGCACCTGGGTGCCCGTGGAGAGCCTGGGCAATGCCAGCCACCCCCGCCTCTCCCAGGGGGAGATACAGCGAGTCCTCGCCCGGATCCCCTGCAAGGAGATCTACAATGGGCAGCAGCTCATTGCCAACGAAGTGGCCGTCAGGTACCTGCGCTGCATCTCACAGGTAAGAGGCACCGTGGCTGTGCTCTCACTGGTGGCTTGGGGTTAGGCACTGCCAGCCTGAGCTCTTCCCTCAACAGGATATCCTGTTGAAATCAAGCTGCAGCAGGAGAGACTGGTGATTTCAGAGGGTACAAGGTGTTCAGACTCAGCTCTGTGGGGTTATGCCTCCAGCGTGGTGCAGAGGCTGTAGCTGTAGGTCATCCTGATAATTGGCCCTCTCTCCTGCCTGAGCAGCCTGGGGCTGCAGAGCAGTGACAGCCAAACCATCTGCATGTATTTATTCAGAGCAAGCTCAGAAGGGGCTGAGATGGATCTTACTCAGTGGCTGGTAGGTTGTCACCCTCTCCAATAACCCATCAGTTGCTCTTGCTTCTTATTTCAACATGTGCAAGCAACGGGCCAATAATCATCTATGCCACTTTTCTCTGCTGCTTCAAGGGAGCAGGGTGTGTTTATTAGCCATCCCAGGGAACCACAAATAAAGAAGTGCCACTAACCACTTGTCCTG